AAGATTTTGAGAAAAATCTTGAAAAACCGTTTAAAGACGGATAAGGATGGTCTGTGAAAACAGAGAATAGGTTCGGGAGTCGATTGAGTGTGGGAAAGATGTTAGGCACCCCACAACACTCGTTTGTGAGAACGATTACCTAAAGTTTGTTGTGCTATGTAAATATAGTTTTAAAATTATTTTAATTATTCCTGTTATATTCACGTGTTTGATAAAAATGATAAGAATTAAGTGAGAAATATTTATTTATTTATGAGGGAGGACTTGACTCAGAATTCGACTCTGAGGCCTACGTACCCTGTGATGGAGATCAAAATTCACGTAGTTCGGGATTGATAATTGTTGGTGAAAATATTTTTTTAAAGAGAAATTAATCAAAAATAACTCACCATTTTGTAAATAAAATAATTTTTGAAATTTTGACATGTGTGTTTTAAATTACAAAAAGTGATTTAATTTCAATTATTTTCTCAATTTTTGAATTTTTGGAATAAGGAGAGAAAAGAGTTTAAAATTATTTTTCTTTTATGTTTTATGATTGGAATTTAACTGTTATACCTGTAGAGCCTTATTGGTTCATACAGTAATACAATTATTCTTTATATCTATAGAGAATCCAAACTCTCACACGATAAAATAGTTTAACAACTTAGTTTATTTACTTAAATTTTTAAATATTAATAATATTATTATTTTTTTAGTGCATTCATACATATATACTTACTTCTTTTTTTTAAAAAAAAAGACTCTTAATCATCATACCTGTAAAGCCTTATTGACTTTTACGATAACAAGATTATCCTAAATATCTACGGAGATTTAAAATCTTCACACTATAAAAAATTAAATATTATATATTTTAATGCATAATTATACAATTCACATTTTAAATATAAAAATTTTAATCGCTATACCTACGAAGTCTTATTGACTTTCACGGTAAAATAATTATTTTAGAGGTCTATGGACATTTAAAAATCTCATATGACCAAAAGACATAATTGGTAAATATAATTATAATCTAAATTCATTAATTAAATTAATTAAAATTATAAAAACCATATTATATTTATTTACAAAAATTTATTTATTTATTTACTATATACAAAGTGATAATCACATCATCTACAAGGATTTATTATCCCATACGATGATGTATTTAATTTAAATCTCAATGAAGATTTTTAAAATCTTTCATTAGACTTAAATATTTTATTAATTTAAATTATATATAAAAAAGAGTTAATTTTAATGACGAGCCTTTGAAACTCATATTATTATATACGTTTATATATATAAATTATATTTTCATACATGTAAAATCTTATTGACTTGAATGGCATGAAATCACTTTAATTGTCTACGCAGATTCTTAAAATCTTACTCGACAAATAAATCAAAAGCCACATATGTTAATATTATGATCAAACCATACCCAAAACAATCAGTATGAAATTAATAAATTTTCATAATTAATAAGCAAGCATAATGATAAATTTTTAAATACCGAGAAATTAGTAATTCAATTAAACTATATTCTTTGATCACTAAAAGGTATAGGATCATATCTAGTCTCATATATAGTTGGACAGTGATCCATGAAAACTTGAAATAAAAATGTGATTCAAACCCATAACCTTTAGCCGATGCTTTAAAACTTGAGAACATACTCTTATATTTCCTAATATATCATCAAATACTAAATTTGGATAGCTCTCATAATGCAAGCAGTAAGTTCATGAAGTTATAATTTTGAAGAACTAGATTGTTAATCCGTCTTTAAGCATTTAAATGAATTTAAATTTACATTCATCACCAAATCAGAATAAATAATCACTCAATGCATGTCCATATTAAAAAAATTAAACTGAATTTCACATGTTTCTTCTTCAATATATATGCACACAAAATTTATCACAGCCATCATTGTATTAGCAATTCTTCAAGCAAAATATTTTAGCCAAACCTATTAATGCAGGCTCAACGCATTTTTTGAGAAGGAAGTCAAGACCTCATCCATGAATTAGGACACTCTGAATCATATGCCACACACAGTGCCATGCATCTCGTGAAAATACAGGAGTCATAATCTCAATAAATGCTGTATAAGGAAGCAGATGAGGGATGGTGCATTATCCTGATTCCTCTTCTACTACTTTTTTGAACTTCACGATCGCCGCTCTCTCTCATTCTTCCCCCTAGTGCTTCTCTACGTGTTCATATCTGCTCCTCCATGCTCTTTTTTTTTACTCCTCCTATTTTTTTTGCTGTGTTCGTTTCTAGCTTCCCTTCCTCACTTGGCCTTTGTTTCTTCCTCAAAAATCTAAAGCCAAAATCACAGGTCCTCTCCTTTTTTTCCGGTCAGCTCCCTTCACCGCTGCAGCCACCGTCTTCTTTTTCCTCGTGCATGTCTGGTTTTTTTCTCTCTCCATTTTTGTTTCTCTCCTTCTATGCTCTGTTTTTCTTCCATTTTTCTCGTCCATCCTCGATATCTCCTTCCTCAATTTTTCCTCATCCTGATGCTCTGTTTTTGCTTCCTTTTCTGTCTCCTCTCGGACTCGCGTTCTCAGTCTTTCTTCTCCTCTTATTTTCCTCCTCTTTCTGTCTCTCTCTTCTCGTGCTCCTCAAGCTTGATCGATATGAATGTCTCTTCGAGATTGGAAGAGGAATGGCAATAGTGGTTGCGAGAAAGGACCAAAAAAATAGCAGCACTCATGACCCTCTGTCGTTCCAAACATAAGAGACACACTCACGACCCTCTGTTTTTTTTGCTGGAAATAACAGCAGCAGCCCTCTTTTTGATCTCTTCTCGTTTTGGTTTTTCTTGTGCCTCTTCCTCCACAGAGAAAGGACCAAGAAGAGGAATGGAAGCAGACTCCTCCTCCTTTTTTTGTTCCGACGTCCCCCTTCTACATCGCTGTGTTTCTCTCTTTTATTTCGCTATACACTTCCTTTTTTTCTTCCATTTGCGTGCATGTGTGGCTGTGTTTCTGCTCTGCTTTTTGCTTGCGTGTCTGACTCCATTTCTATCGTCCGGTCTTCTCTACGTCTGGCATTCTTCTACATTTTTTTTGCTGTATAGCTGAAAACTCTCTCATCTCTAGCTTGTTTTGCATGACCAGTACTTTTCCTTTTTCTTTGCTCTGCATTTTCATTTTGATCTTTCTGCCTCTGTGACTCTGGTTGCTGTTCACGCATTCTCTGTGCACGCCTCTGGTCTTTTCGGTTTAAGTCTTTTGGCTGTGGTGAAATTACAGCATTTCGCCCCAACCTTTAATTAATTAATTAATTTTTTATTAATATTTATTATTTTTTTAAAATTAGATTAAGAATATATTATTTATTTTCAAAAAATAGCAAAATTTAAGGAAAGAAATTTAAACATAGTTGGGTCTTAAAAAGTTAATTCCCAATATCTTTAAATGGTTGGGGTAATTTGAAAGAGATTTTTAAATATTTAAGCAAGATTATTTTTTTTAATTTTTTTGTATTATTATTATTATTATTATTATTATTATTATTATTATTTAAAAATATAATCCTAAAAAAGGATTAAATTTTATTTTTGTATTTTTATATTTTTTGATTATTTATTATTATTTTTATTAAATTAGAAAAATGCTCGAATAAAATACAGTGTTCACAATTCTAATTTGCTCTTCTTTACTCTATCTTTAAATTTTATGTTTTAATTGCTATTGCTAATTAGAAAAGCTTTATTGCATGATTTTTGAATTATAAATTTTATCTAATGTTTTGATTGTTATTATCGATTGATATAGTAATATAAAAGCAATTTGGCTTGGCTTGAGTAATTACTTATACTTTATTTTTGGTATGGCTAACTTAAAATGGTTGTTAGGTTATGGGTTAAGAGAGATTTTAATTAATCTATAACTTAATTTCTTATCTAATTCTTAAATGATAATTTAAAAAATATATAATAAAATTAGAATAATAAAGTTAAATAAAATTAATGTATTTGGTGGATGGGGAAGATTGAGTTTAAGTGATTGAGTTGTGATTAATTGCATTGCTTATTCTTGATAATTTTCTCAGTTGAATTTTCTTTATCTAATTCTAATTTAGTTTTTTCAATTAATTTCATCATAAAAAACCCCATTATTTACATCTTAATAATTATAATTTAAATAATTACTTTATTAGCTCTTAGAAAGATAATCTAGATTGTGCTTTACTGTAAAATTTAATTTTTATTGATTTTGGTATTTTGAAACGTTTGAGCAAGTTGGATTCATTGCCCGCCTGATCCGCTCCAGACTAATATAGATCCCTGCATATATACGGTTGCATAACTTGGGACTCAAACACAAGACTTTAGATTAAGCTGTCCAGATTCTTAATCACTTGGACAAACGCCTGTTAGTGAAACACACTGAATTTTAATTGAGTAGTCCAAAGAACCCAAGAACAATTGGCGTTGACAATGATCCGCACCTTCTTTTTTGGGCCAACAAAAATGGAGAAAAATTAACTATTAACTTAAACAAAAAAAAGTTGAAAAAAAAAAGTAATATTTGGAAGAACAAACTTCATTGTACAATTTTACATTGCAGAAGTGTTTTCGGTGTCCACAACGGTTTTTTTTTTTTGGGACCACCGACTACAAGGTTTTAAGTCACTCGCCCCTTGATGTTTTTGGACTAGACCCTCTTTATCAACCCAAAAAAAGTCACTCGCCTCGATCACCAGTTTGTAAGAAAAATGAAAGGATCACCAAATAACTCACCGTGAACTAGAATTTAAATACTTTTCAATTTTCATTACTTGATTCACAGCACATTTTGGCGTCCATTTGTGCTTATTGTTAGTCTTATTCCGATGTAAGCCAGTTTTCCACAACTTGGTGGCAAATTACAAATAGCCTCACCCAAACAACCACGACATACATTGGCACTTCACGTATAGCTCCTGAAACCAATAGGATTTAACCACCCACACGCCACACGGCACAGTAAGTCGGAGGTGGAGCTACTCACTTAACATAGAGTCGCCAAGTTTCGTTCACTTGTCATATATGCAAAAGCACTAGTTAGGTTGATTGCAAACACATCGGAAATCGCCTCCAAATTATGTCTCCCTAGAAACAAGGAGGCAAAAATTGATAGATACTAACTCTAATACCACCATACTCACCTAACTATATAGATAATGCTAGCAGCATTGTGGGAATCAGTGATTTGCCACAACAATAAATGCCTAATGAAGTAATACACGGCCTAGGTTGAATTACAGGGCCAGAAGCCAGGAGGAAATACCGAAAAGCTGCATGGAATATTGCACTGATCAGCAAAAGCCAAGCAAGCAAAAAGCTCCGAGAGAATGCACAATGAGTAGATATCGATTTCTAGCCTCTTTGACGCTTCTTTCCAGCCTTGGCAGCACTTCCTTGCGTCTTGGATGAACTTGATGCCTTACCCTTCATGTCATCTACCTTTTCTGTTGAATCCGCCGAGAATTCATTCTTCGCATCTTTTGTCTTCGATGAACCAGATTTAGCCTTGCCAGAGACATTAACATTAGACTTTCCCCCATTTTTGGGGGGCCTCCCCTTAGAAGCAGGTGAATTTAACGTTTCTTTCTGGGGTTTTTTCGGGTTTTCTTGCTTGGTCTTGGAAGAAAATTTGGGCTTGATAACATCATCGTTCTTTGTTTTGCTGGTCTTGGGAGTGTCAGTGTCAGTGTCATTGGATTCAGTCATCATTGGTACAGCGTCAGCAGGTTTATTGGAACCACTTCTTGAAGCATGATCCTTTGATTTTCTAACGCCATCCTCCGATTTGGGGATACTCTTGGAATCTTTGGATTTGCTACCAAGCTTGCCGCCATCTTTCAACTTATGGCCAGACTTTGTGGATGCACCCTTTGATTTGCCGGATGCAGATCCTCCACTGCCAACATTCAGAATTCAAAATTTAAATATCAAATAATGGACGACAAAGTTAAATTTATGATTTCCACAAACCTCTTGGAAGGAGTATCCGTATTTCTTCCTTTAGTTGACTGACTAGCACTTTTTTTCCTCTTCCTATTTGAGGGCCTATATACAATCATAAAAAGAGAATGAGGCCCCAGAAAAATCTCAAAATACATGCAGTTAGAAAATTCAACAAGATTCCCCAAAGTCAACCGAATTGAATAAATCCAAATGAGTTTTACCATAGGTAAAAGACAATACTACACTAATGTAAATTTTAATGAAGATGGGGGAGAAAATCTAGCCTAGGCAATTTGGAAATGGAACAAGGATCATACTCTGTCCCATTTCCATTATTATCTCTATCTTTCTAAGTCATCATACTCTTTATTTATAATCATGTCAATTAAAAATTAAATCAACCTAAATACTTTCACCAAATCTCATTACCTATTTTATTAGAGGTCTTATTATTTTATTTTATTTTTAACTTAATCATAGCTTATTGGAGGGCTTAAACACACTCACCATAAATTTAGTTTCTAATGTATAAATTTTTTGTCACTTAATATTATTTGCTTTGTATTTCCTGTTTTTTTAAACAAAAAATTTAGATCCCTGGGGACTTGCATTCTCAAGGAGAATGAGAATTTTCTTTTCAGTTTATTTTTGGGTGGAGGGTGTTAATTTCCCCGACAATAGAGAATTGAGATAGGGATCTGAAAACTAGTTGATAGAAATATCTGCAAACATAATTATCTAAATCCGTCACCATAAAATGATTTAAGAAAACAACAATTAACATAAAACATACACATCAGCTGAATCATCAGCGCTTGCATGGCCATCTCCGTCCTGTTAATGGAAATAACTCTCGTTGAGTTAGATATTGAAAAAGTTTAAACACAAGGCAGACACCAGAATAAGATTCAGAGTCAACCTGAACAAAATCCCATCTTTCCCTTCTAAGATTCAATATTTCTGTATCACCATCATCATATGCAACCTAATGTGGAAAGCACACAACTGTCAGAAAAGTATATAAAAGAAAAACCACCTTGAGTTTAGCTTTCAATAGTTAACGTTGTAAAAAGGGTTGGGTTATTCTTGGTAACTAAGACAAGGAGAAAACTTTTTTTTTTTTTTTTGCAAGAAAAAAAGGGAAGGGGGGCTTTGTAACTTGTAAATCACCTTGTGCTTCTTTTTGGCAGAATCAAAGGACTCAATGGTACCACTGTAAAACCTACAAAAGGTCATATTTCTGTCAATACAAATAGGTTTCATATGTTTTTATTGAAACAAAATGAAGGCATATTAATAGTGAAAACAGGATACGCATACAATTTAACTGAAACTCACCAAAGAGAACTGTGCTTCAACTTAAATTCGCACCCTCTCCCTCCTCACTCCAAAGAATACAGGAGATGGAGGGCCATAAACAAATATAATACATTAAAATGCAGCGAGGTGTACTTTCGATAACGTATATTCCAACTTTGTCTATGAACCATTTAAGGAAAGACAAGCAAACTAAGCTAGAATGAAAAATCTTTGAGCGGGGCATGTTTATTGAACAAACTGGTTTGCCACAACAGCCACCTACAGCATTTGTAGTCTAAGTGATGCAAATAGAACATAGAAATACAATGACATATTTGGTAGAGGAGGCAAAATTAAAAGGTCATCCATGGGTGATTAATCCAGCAATAATACAGACATACAAACAACTATTTATGCAAACCATTCAAAGGAAAGTAGCATACAACACACTTTGCCTTGTCAAAATATCCACTGTTATAAAAGAATAGCCAAGTACTTACTCATGATCTTCTGGCCACCAAACTTTAACCCGTGAACCAACAAGATTTTCACCATATACCTTGATATCAGACTTCTGATAAAGCATTTAGATAATCATCAATCAAGCTGGGAAGAAAATTAAACTTCTGAATTGAACATAAATGGAAGGAATTCCACATGCTTTGAACTAATTAAAGATTAAGGCATTACAAGATAAGTCAGTATACATTAAGACTTAATAATAACTTCAAAATATTTCACTCCAAATAAATCAAGTATACCATAAAGAGTGAGACAGAACATCAAAAATTGATACTTCACCACATTAGCTATGCCCATTTATATAGGTAAAAAACAATTTGACATAATAGCAAAGGTCTAACTAACAAATAAGAAAGCTGCAGAACAGATGTTTCCATATTTATCAAAAAAAGAAAAGAAAAGAACAGGACAGATGTTTCTATAGCTTAAAAAAAAAAAAAGGAAACAGGGGCTCATACATCATCCTTTCCTGGAGTAGATTTCCTCTTCAAATTCTTCTTGGGCGTTTTCTCTAAATATTGTTCATCTTTGATCAATCTTGTACCTGTCTTTGGTGAAGATACTGTTTCCTAGATAATTTCACGACAACTCCATAAATCAATTGACTAAAAAAAAAAGTAAAATATAGATTATACTGCGAAAAGACGGCAGATAATACCAAAGAAACAGGCTATCAACAGCAACCTCTAGAGTTACCTTTTCTTCATTAGCAGATTTTGCTACATCCAAATCAGAGACTTTGCCCTGCTTCTGCCTTTTATTTTCCTTCAGGTGCTTCAAAGAGGATCCAACACCTCTATTGGTCCTATCTTCTTTCTCAGTTGACCGCCTTTTGCCCTCTGAACCACTTGTACTCTCACTTGTTTTTTCAACTGAATCTACTGCATTAGTTTTTCTCCCATCAGAGTGCTCACCAGGTGCCTTCTTGGCAGACCGCTTGGTAGGTTTTGCATCTGAATCACATGTTACTTCTGACACCTTTTTGGCAACACCTTCAGAGGAAATGGCAACTTCTTTGGCCGGCCTTCCTTTCTTATTTCTTCTTCCAGATTTTTTGGAATGATTTTCATCAGGATGGCTTAGACTAGGAGAAGGAGAAGCCATGGCTTCAGACTCATTGTTTCCAGCCTTTCGTGATGAAATCTTAGCATGACTCTCCTTGTCATTCTCTGAAGGTCCTACTCCCTCAGTGGAATGGTTTTCATCAAGTGAACTACAAAGTTCCTTCTTGTTACTTTTAGAGTCGAGCATTTTCTCAGCATCCCTGTCCCGAGCAACAGCTGAACTCTCAGAAGGTTCGGCCAATTTTGTAGAATTATATTGCTTTCTTCTCCTCTTGGTGGCTTGCTCAGGCTTTTGTTCTGTATTGTCAACTTTTTTAGAGTTGACATTGTTGGGATCCTCATTACTAGATATATTCATGCCTTTAGAGTGATCAGAATTATTTACATCTTCTTGCTTCTTTAGGGACTTTGGATCTGCCAACAAGTCATCTTCACTGGACTGTACAATGCCATTGCTCGTGACAGACTTAGAAGACCTACCATCAACAACAGTGTCTTGTTGAGAAGGAGTAGCTTTTTTAGAATCCTCCTCAATCGCCTGATCAAAATAGAACACATTGCAATGCTCAGTCATAATTGAAAATATATTAAAGGATGAAACATAGAACCAAAAAGAACAAAAAGCAGATGCACGTATAAGTACCTGCATTGACTCATTCAATGTTGCTTTCACTGACTTTCCCTCATCTGCCTGGAGAGTCAATATAATAAAACCAGAAGGAAATCACAAAAAAGCTTTCATCATGGAAAAGAAATTATTGCCAATACATTAGTTAACTTGAGACTGATGAAAGCTTACTGCATTTTCACTGGAAGCACATGCATCATTTTGCTCCAAGCTACCAGATGTCTCTTGACATACAGAAGCAAGTACCTTACTATAATCATCTAAAGAAATGCCCAAGGTGGCCACTGCTTCCACTAAGTATGGTTTAAGCTTTGTCGCGCAACTTTCCAGGACCCTCTCCCCCAAATTTTGAGCATTTGGCAAATATTCCTAAATCATTATGATAATTGTTTAAATATTAACAATGAAGGCAAAGTTCAATGAAAAATCATAATACTAATATCAGAAAACAAATGAAATCAAAATGATCAAACTTAAACCTCATTGTCTTTCTTCACACTGGCTAAGATTGGAGAAAGCAGGTCCACAGATATCTCTTCACTTTCCTCTATAACAAGGGTCATGATAGTCTCAATTGATGATAACACATTTTCTGGATGATGTTCCCTGAAGTTTCAAATGGAGTTGGTTAGTACCATGTCCATATATATGGTATTTGTAATCAGATAAAGAAATATGGAAGATGAGAACCTAAACTGCTGAATGCTTATATATAGGCCTTTTCAGCATAAAAAATCTACAACCATATAAAGGCATTTAGTGAAGATACAAATACTAATAAGGGTATGAGCATTTGTATAACCTAATAAAACTTTTCACCTTATTTCGTCTGCTAGCACGAGCACATTTCAAGAAGAAAAACAAAGAAAGTCAGCCTTCTTTGGAAATGGAAATTTATATGCCCTTCCAAAATTAACATAGTACACTAATAAATCAGTGGGCTTTGTTCTATTGAGCGAAAACTATAACTACCCATAGTAAAGTACCTACCAGCACAGAGCTTGTTGAAAGAGAAAAGGCATCAGAAGGCAGAGGAACAAGATTAAGATTGTCATCTTAGAACTCAAAGTGACACAACAGTCATCAGAACAAAATGAAGCATTACCTTCTTGATGCCAGTTGGATTTCATTTTCTGGCACAAAGTCGTGTTTCTTTAGTAGTTCATATATAAAGAAGAGGACATTCAGTGATTTACATTTTTATCATTACATAAACGGAATAGTCAAATACATCCAAGAGACAATGATTAAATCAGTTACAAGGATCTTCATCCACCATTCACATTTGATAAACTAGAAATTTGTCAAAGCATCCATCTTAATAAAGCAGACATCCAAAATCTTCACCCATTATACAGAGCAGCTCAACAGAACAAAACAAAATTACATTATAATTGCAACAAATTCTAGCACATCAGTATTCACAGACTTCTCAAACTAAAGCTTATAATTAGTTAATACTTAATATGACGAAGTATAAAGCATAAACATGCAGTGGAAAGCATAACATGCTGTCTTTATGCATGATCCATAATTAACAGATCTTACCTTACAGCCTTAAAGAAATGCTGAAACATCTCTACAATCAGGGCGTCACACTCAAGATCAAGCATCACCACACATGATCTGACCTTTGCAACAGTTTCAATAATGGATGTTCTCTTAGAATATGATTGGTTTGATGTATCATATAGATTTTCAAATGAAGATACAATTAATTGAAACACCTCCTGCAAGTAATTACAGCATCAAAACTTTATTAGGTAAAATAAATAAAATAAAATAATGACCAGATGAATCAAAGTTATAGGGGAGAAAATATTGAGCACACCTTCATTTGATCATCGTCATAAGGAGCATCAGGTGCAGTTATCCTTGTTATTTCAGTGATGCAAGAGGCTACTGCTACTTTCACATCATCATCTGAATGCCTCAAAAGTTCACCAGCAATTAATGCTTTCAGTGATGGTGAGAGTGCATTTTGCATAGATTTCGTAGGAGACTGTTCAACCCTTGATAGGTAACTCTCAATTTGCTACAATTTCAAGGCAAGAAAAATTATTAATAATAATATATGAGCCTGTGAAATGTCTTCTCCAACATACCCCCCCATGCAAATTCCTTTTGGGAATGAAGGCATAACTATGAATAGGACATAGTGCACTAGTAGCAACAACAGTTCTCAAATGCTTTAGGCAATGCTGGGTTTTTTTTTTTTTTTTTGGGGGGGGGGGGTTGGCTCCCTCCCCTTATTTGGTTTGGAAAAGTGGAGAGGAGGGGAAATTTTAAACCCCTCCCCTCCAAATTGGGGGGGATTAGGGGGTAGGGTATGATTTTGTTGTACAATGACTTATATTGTCCCTTCTTTTAATTACTACTTTTCTTCTTTTTTAAACAAATTTAGCAAAGACAAATTTTTAATAATATATTTGACAATGATAATTACTCTGTATTTATAATTACATGTTAAAAACATTCATAACTATATTTTATTAGAAAACATAATTTTAATAATATAAGGATCAAGCTATCTATATATAATTATCTTTCCTTCCCTCCCCTCCTAAACCAAACATGGTAACATTAAAACCCTCCCCTCCCCTGCCCATGAACCAAACAAACCCTTAGTGGACAGCACAATCACATATAGCTGCAAAACCTACTTTGTAATGTGGTGCACATGTAAAACATATCAATAAATTTAATATAGTTCCTCTAGACAGCAATATGCTAATAATAATAATAATAATAATAATAATAATAATATAAATAGATATATGATAACCTAAGCTTACTGTTAAAAGTTAGAGCATAACCCATGCCAACTTAATAACTATAGTAAGTCTAACTGAATTTAATAAATTTAAAATCGCATTAGAAAGTTAAGGGTCAAAGCATCATCCCAGGAGATCGCCCTCTTTTTCGTTACAGGCAATACCATCCCAAAGATCACTATTAGCAACCCCTTAATTTCATAGCTTTCAGGGCTAATATTGAGTTTCGCTGCTCTTTGTCAACACGATTAGCCAACACATGTTACATATACGGGGTAATGGGTGTTCGGAGTCTGGCAATCTTCAAAAAAAAAAAAAAAAAAAAAAAACTGAACGAACTCAATATCAGCAGCCAGTTCGATTTTATCATCTTACACTGCTCGCCTAGTCAATAAATGCTCGTGGAGAAGATATGTATATTTATCACTCCAGCATATCGTGATAAAAATCACAATAAAATTTTAGGTGAATGTAAGAATTGTGCTTGTGTGTATTATCAATGCATTTATCTGAAAACGTTTATGTTAATCAGCTCAATTCCTCCCGAGCAAGGATAGCCAAGCGGAGTTGGCTGAAAGAAGCAAAAGGAGCATTAAAACGTCAGAACCTAAACAATTTCATATGCTTGTTTACAATTTCTGGGCACGACTCCGCTCACTTATACGCTCAATACAGGTATTAATACCAGGTAAGCTGCTAGAGGTGATTCATTTTCCAAAAGCATCTGTTAAGATATAAACCACAGAGAAACTAAAGGGATGCAACGGGATAATTTTCCCTTGATCCTAAGCAAGATTAACAAAGACACCGCAACCCTGCTACAAAAAATGCGATACATGAGAATCCCTGCGACCAGAAAACCCAATTTCCCCAGAAAAGGACGGGCTAGTGAAAAATCGAAGCCAAGAGCGGGAGTAAGACTTCAACTAGCAACGGAAAACCCAAGAAAACAGAAATTGAATGGAAAAGAAAGACCATGCTTACATCTAGAAGGGGCAGAAGCTCCTCGACAGAAGACGGAAGATCTGTGAGCTTATTTCCAGCTTCAAGGAGCTGCTCTTCGAGCTCTTTGTCCGAAGATGCCATTGGTACTGAACGTGGGTCTCTTGCCCTGGATCTTCGACGGCCCTCCACCGGTCTCCGCTGCTTCACTCCATCGAAGCCCTCGAAATTGACGAATTGAAGCGACAGAAAGCAGGTTTATGACAGTTATTAGGCAGTTTCCGGAGATAACAAAACAAAGTTAGGGTTTTTCTTTTGTTTTTTTTTTTTTTCCTGTACTAATAGAAGAGAGCGGAGATAATGTGAAATTTGACGATAGTGTCTTCCGTAAAATACTAACGACACGGTACCATCGATCTCATCAGCCAGTTCTGATTCCGTTGCGATTTTGTGTTGTGGGCATTATGGGAGCCTAACTTGGATTTGGCGGGTTCCTGAATTTGGGTTAAACTAGTGTTCATCGCACGGGTAAAATATCATCGAATTAAATTTATTTATATATGTTGTCAAAATTATCTTCTTATAGGATAAGTTATATTGTAGTGTATTTTTTTCATACTTTTTATTAAAAAATATAAGATATTTTTAATTGAATTTTATTTTCAATAAAATAGTTACTTATTTTTAAACTAACCTTTTTTTTATATCTATCTCTATTAAACACCCTATAATAAATATAAAATCACTATCAATAGGGATATTTAAAAAAAAAAAAGAGAGACAATGGTTTCACTTTAAAAAATTAAAAATATTTTACATTTTCATATATTCAACTCCTCAAAAAAATTTTGATATTTTTGAATGAAAGGAGTATTACGTACCAATAATTTAAAATCAACAATGTTTGTATTATTTAGTTTTTTTAATTAAACATTTGGTCTTTAGCTGAAATACATTATTTGCAATCAATTGAAGGTTCAAATGAAAAATGTAAATGATATAATCAATTAATTAAAACTAATTACAACTAATTATAATAGAGAAGTACAACCTTTAAGCAAGTAAGTTAATCAAAAAACCAGTTATGGAATAATACAAAAAAAATTATAGTTCATTTTTAATATTCTCAAATATATCTTCAAATACAACATTGATCATTTTTTAGGATGCCTTATTACTTTTGTCATGAATTATTATATTTATGCCTTTTGTGTGTAAATTTATTTGCAATTAACCAAAATAATTTAAGGAGGAACTTATAATTGTTAATGTCTTATTTCATTAGTAAAATATTAAATGAGTTATTCAATGTCTTGCATCATAATAATTTAGTGAAGTGCTAGAAGAGTATCAAAACAAATAAAAAAGCTATATTTCATTTGTAATTTAATGTTTGGAAAAATATAACTTCCTCCGAATCCTCCCCATGCCACAAAAATAATTCATACTTAGTAAATAAAGCACTTTTATTTAAAAAAAATATTATAAATTCAAAGCATTCATTAATTTTCATTAGTAATGAAATTCATATTGCTCTCTCTGTTCAAAAGTACAATACCTTTTTTAGGGGTTAGATTGTAAAAAAATGTAAAACATTTTTAATACATTTTTAATGTATTTTCTAAAAAATGCACATAATAAATAAATTACTTTATATTCATTTTAAAATGAAACACCTTATTTATAATTTGAGTTGTTCTTTCAGCAAACAATTTCCAAAACAATTCCAAAACTGTAAATATATGCTTTTTCACGTAACCCCTCATTATATATCTGGGAGCCATGTAACTATTGAAAAGAGAATATGCAACACCCATAAATTTGTTATGTTACTAAACAAAGGAAATATTGATGTTTCTAGGATCATTTGAATGAGAATGACTTTATGCAATAGCAGATCTTATTTCACAGAGCAACTGCATGTTGAACACAACTTCCGTTAATGAGCAATCAAATATAGAATTTAATATGGCATAATACAAACATTGTTCTAGCTATTCCAGTGCTAATATGTTTATTATCATCTTCATTGAGCTTTGCCAGATCTTGGCATTCACATCCTTATTCAGTGAGACTTTAGTTACCTTAATATCCCCATGTACTATTTTTAATTTTGATTCCTCGTGAAGATAAGCTTGACATGTCATGTTATCTGACGAATGGCTATCAATCAGAGGCAAAATTCTTTACAAAAAAACATAAAGGTTTGTTTTGGAACAATCAAATATTTTTGTTTCCTCATAGTATCATAGTAAACTATATAGTTGGAATCACTTACTCTCGCCACATTCCTAAGGAAAAGGGAAAAAGCATCCATGCCTATACTTTATGCAATCAGCAAAAACAATTCTCATCTTCTGAATTATAGATTTTAGAAACATCCCAATTAAAACAGCATAACGATGATAAAAATTGAATTCAAATTATAATTTCATCTAAAAAATTAGTTCAACTTCACTCAAATGAGTGCTAAGTTCAAAATACCAAAATATTTGTTTGCTCAGGGAGATAGATATGTAATTCAATTAATATTTTCAGCATATCAATATATCAAACTCTAAATGTACCTAGTAAAATTTCAAGTGCTTCAAACTCGAATTCACCTAGTAAAATCTTCAAGAGAAGCTCCAAATTAAGTGAGGAGTTTAAGTGGCCTAGAATTCAAGAAATTGACCCTTAACAAATCGCAAAACCATGCTGGACTTTCTAGCGCCCATGTCACCTAGGAGAAACTGATCATCAATTGAGAGTATTATAACCTCAAATTGTTGACAAACTTAGCAAGGAAAAAAATAATGAGAGAATAAGGAACCAAAATCAAACTCACCAATTTGGCATTGAGGTTGTTATGCCCAATTGCAGCCATGGTTATGAATCGAATCGATTGGAAAGGAACCACAACAACCTGCAGAAAGAGACTAACAATGGAGATAATAGCTAACATTTTCCATGAACTCATCCAGTAGTATGGGAGCATTGAATTAATCCTAACCTGACATCGCCAGACCAAGACAAACTCAACGAAGTGGACAGACGGGTGAGAGAAGACTTGCGTCTGCCACGCACGGGTAACATGGTTGGGGGAGAAGAATAGGAGACGTGCAGCTGCAACGCACGAGCAACATGGTGGAATGACGTCCCGGGGGCTCAGCTATGATGTTTGTGTGAACTGGTCAAGTGATTTGATTTGTTTTGTAGCCAAGCCTTGCCTAGGTGGTTCATCTTGGGAGGTCATCGCCAATGGAGGATGTGGTGAGTTGTTTAGTCATGACGACTTTTGGTGCAGGAGACGCGACACCATAGGCTTTTGGCTGTCGTGCGTTGCGGTCCTTTTAGTCTTGACGAGGTTTGTCTGGCAATGCAGAGGAAGAGGAGACAAGTGATGCAATTGGTCTTTGGCAGCAGCAGTCGCAGAGAAAGTAAAAATGCCATTAGTCAAAGAAAAGAAGCAGTGAGGGTTTGAAAGATATTTAATACAAGATGTGAAATCCATAATGCAGTCAAAAGATAATAATGCAAAAAAGAAATAAAACAAATATCACCCACAACTTTCTTCCTCCGGCTTCGCTCTCTGACCTACTCGACACCATCAAGATCGAAACAATCAGCTCCCACAGCATCGTCCGCCCCCTCCATTCTCTCCATGACGACTTCCGCTCAATCTTGACATCTCATCGAGTTAAAGCATAGCAGAATGAAACGACCCAACAAGAGTAGTTAAAGGAAAGGAGATGAATGGAAACACCCAGGGCACTTACTAAATGCGGAAGCTCGAGGACTAAGATTGGGGGATCAAACAATGGTAAAGCAAATGGGAACGCTGAAGACAACGAAGACATGGAGAAGAAGAAAATGTGGCTCTAAGTAACAGACGGGCAAAGTCGGTGAAAAACTGGGGGCAGTTTTGGTAATGTACTATTTATTCACTATTCACATGAGCACCCCAAGTTAATATAGATATGGATTATAACAGTACAACAGATGGACGGCTAGGACGCACAATTAATGAACACAGTAAATTGATCTCTGACTGGGGGGAACCAAAAGAGAACAGATGGAGAACTGTTCATTCTGCAGGCATGCGTGGAACGCACAATTAATGCACACAGTATATGGAGCTCTGATCGGGGTCGCAAAACAAACAAAAAAAAAGAACTGTTCATTCTGCAGGCATGCGTGGAACGCACAATTAATGCACACAATATTTGACTACTGTTCATACTGTAGACATGGCCATCCCGTGTTAATAAAAGTAATAGATTTGAGAGATAGAATCCGCCTTTGAATTTTCGGTTTCAATCAGAACTCTCGTGTGCTGGTGACCTAACTCTCGTGTGCTGGTGACCTTTTTAAGATTTCTCTGCAAAACACCCAAAAAATATAAGAAGAGAGAATAATTTTTAATCTCTACATTTTTTAATTATTAATTTAGTACTTAAATTTTGAATCAAAACAATTCAATATTTAAAACAAAATAACTTAATCCTTATAGTTTTTTTATTTCAGTATAATTCAATTTTTACAATTCCTCCACTTAATAAATTATAAGAATTAAGTTATGCTAAATTAAAAATGTAAAGTCTAAATTGATAATTGAAAAAAATGGGAATTAAATTTTATATTATCTAGAATATATTAGGGCTGGGCAATTATAATTATATTATAATTTATAATCACAGTTTGTTGTGATGGACTTGTCATTGCCACTTGCTAATGCTTTTAATTTGATATTTTACTGTTAGAGCGCATCACGATATCACAATTTCGAAGCGGGCTTGTTGCTTATGAATGTGATAAATTATGGTCCATGGACGTGTCGCTAAACAACAGTTCTTTAAATTTAGAAGTTATACATTTGACCCTTGTAATTTTTTTGGCCATCAGTCTTTGCAGCTGAAAAAGAAAAACAGAAAGAAAGAAAGAGTCTTTGGCACGTTTTCACAATGTTTCAAATAGAGCTGTCAATGCTTGGTCCTTTGAGTATGAAAATAGCCAATGTGAGCCACTATTTCATGATAGAAAATATTAAATTAAACTTAAAAAGAGTTAGTCATTTTAAGCTAAAAAATAAAAGGATAAACCCTTTTATATCTGTTTACTTTTTTAAATACCAATGTAAGAAAAAAAAAGACTAAATATCTAGCTACAAAAAATAAAAGCTCAACTCATTCCCCCCTCCCTTATTCATTCATCAAGATTTAACTGATACTTACAAAGTTTAAGTTTTATTAGTTTGAATTTTGATGTTGTTATTCAATATCATATTTGGATGTTTAAATTTTACATATTTATTATAATGTAGATTGATTTAAATTTATTTTTCTAAACTTCATTTTATATATAATAATTTTTAAAATTATAAATATATTTTTTTATGTTTTTAAATTGAAAAAAATAGGGCCAAGCTCTACAAAATAAAGTCCTAA